AACAGAGACTCAATAGGCTTTAAAAGGGTCACATTGGGGCGATATATAACACCCAGTCTTTAAGCAATGCACTTTCAGATAAGCCTTTCTGATCATGATTTTTCAACAAAATAATGCTTTTGTGAAACATGGGATATAGACCAGAAGCTAGATGGGAGCCATACATGTTTATATATTGAGAAACCCCGAAACACGAGACATTTTGTTTCAACCTTAACATGAGGTCGGGTGGCCAGCTGGATACCCTTCGCTTGGGTGGGGGTCAAGTTGACCTCGCTAACATCTCAGGAGCTAAGAAACCTAGAGACACCAAATTCACAGGGTGTGTTGACCTGTACGTGAACTCGCATAGATCAAAGTTTGAGGCTCCTGAGGTCATAACCTTTGGGTCAAATAAGGTCAAACAAGGTCAAATTCTAGGTTGGTTTCCAAAGTGCCCGCAGAACCTAGATATATATTTCTAAGCAAACGGTCACATGCCAATTTAAGGCCAGTGACTTTTTTTGGCCTTTTGGAGGTTATGGTGACCAAAATCATACTAGACTGCTCTGAGTGTTGCATTTGAATAAGCAACAAAGATTACGCTAGGGAGCATATTCCTAAAAACAAGATGTGACATGGGGTATTTTTGATTAATGACTCATTCTGGCCTTTAGGAAGCCCATGCAAATGCAGAATGTGGTTCCTGCTATAAATAGATTCGAAATGAGCACCAGAAACTGTCCCATACAGCAAGCCCCACGGCAATAAACCAGGTTGGTTTTGACCTTGGTCTGGCCTTCATACCTGATCTAAGATCGATGTTATCTGCTCATTCAATTGTTGTGTGGTCTAAGAATACATCTCAGAGATGTATGACTTCGTCTAACACTTCGTGGTTACATGAGATTGAACGATTTCCTAGAAATGGACTTCGCTTGAAACCATGGCCTGACTTTGACCTGCTATAGGTCAGTCACCTTACAAGGAACATCTAAATTTTTGACACCAAGCGATCCACTATTCAATTGTCTACAGCTAAGCAAATTTTGGCGCCGCTACGCCGCGCGGCTCGGAAACCATTCTGGAAAAACCTTCGAGAGCGGGGGGGGGGGGGGGGAGGTCAATCTGACCCCAACCGGAGAGCGGGTTAAAAGAGGAGTGTTAATATCCCCGGTCGTGAATGATTTTTTCCTTTTCTTTTTGCTCTACACGGGCTTGAGCACCAAGAACTCTTGTTCTGGAGGAACTGTTGTCCTATCCGAACCTTTAAAGGAAGATTTTTTGAGTGGCGATCTTTATCCCACAAACGTGCATCCTACAAACGTCTGCCATGTGAGCGATTGCACTAAAATCACGAAAAATGAGCGGAGCGCTGAGCTCGCATTTGCAATAAACATCACACCATCGTGACGCGTATGTGGTACACTTTTCAACAAAGCCGGCTGATTAGCTCGCTTATCTGGCCCTATTCCGCCGGTTGGCTCCAGGGCCTGGCCCCCGGGATTGCGCTATGAATCAGACGTGTGACGGTGTCCAGAGCTCTCCAGTGTATCGATCTCCGGGCCGAGTCATTACTCCCTAATATTTGAGGGTTGAGTCACAGTCACTGCCCCGCGAGAGCAGCCACAAACGCGTGCGCGTGCAGGTTTGGATTCGTCGCTGACTGACTCGCTGTTGTAGCTGGAGCGGATGCAGTGTGCTGCTGGTGGTGCTGCTGGCGAGAACTGGGTCTGGAACGTCTCCCCAGTCACCTGGTCCCTTTCCAACCCACCACGGGCAGGGTGCGTCAATCGTGTGCTGCCGCGCAGATGGTGCGCTGCGTGCAGTTGGCGCCGATGAAGTCAGCGGCTCAATGTCATCTGCTGCCGTTACTTCACAACACATCCTCGTGAAACTGTGACGCTCTTGATCTCGCAGCTCTGTAATCCAGCACGTGCCTGCCAGGAGTATGTGCCATGCGACAATGTGTGTGAGACAGCACTGCCAGAGCGGCACAGCTGTCTACCTTTAGTGGCCCGTCTCCGGTAGCCAGCTGCTCACGTCGCGCGGCCCCACCTCTCGTTGTTTGTCACCCTTTTCTGACGGTCAGTTCATGACACTCGCGTGTTGATAGCCGGTGTCTGATTTTCTGTTTTGAAGGAGCATGAGGCCTAGTATCTCCCATTTTTCGGCGCCGGCCGCACATATTCCGCCAGCTGGCGAAGTTCTGTTGGAACTCACTCGGGTAAAGACTGAAAATCGATGAGCCGATGCCTGGTCTTTCTACGGCAACGTTGTCGTTGGAAGACGCAGACGGCTGTTCGTTAGATAGCTTGCAGAGTGAAGAGATCGAGCGTTCATCGAGCACCAGAACGGTCTTCTGTTACAAACGTCCTTATAATGACTATTATATTTGGATTCCAAACGCAGGCGTTAATCCAAACATATCACAGGCAACTAGTATACGACCACTTTAAGGCTTGGCAATCGGCTATAGCAGTGTAGAGCAACACATAAGAGAACTGCAAGCACCACTCTCATGTACTTGCTTCCCTTATGTCTCATCGTGAAGCAAAAGCGTCGTAGAATGAAACCAAGTGAACATAAAGCTCCCGGGAAAAATAAATGTGCACACAAATACATGTTTAGAGTGGGTGCACCATGCCACGCGCTTAGCTCTCAGCTCAGTTCATTTTCGTCAAGGCTTCACATTAAAACTTTTTATCTTTATATAACCCATTTGAATAAGTAGGCAGAGATATGCGTGCCACATTGTCATTCAACCTAGCTTTAGAGATAAAACAGAAGTAACAGTGCTGCAATCTTGCCTTTTCGAGGCGCAACGAGTTCCGCCTAGTTACCCTTTACAACCATCTAACGCATTTGGCTAGCTTCCCATCAAGGCATGCCGCAATCGTAGGTGAGGAGACCACCCACCGTAAACCCAGACGACCAGTCTGAGACCTCAGACGAAATCTGGACCCCTTGGGGCCAATGTTGTTTCGATATTACTTGAATTAAAGACCAATTGATACAGTATACAGAAAAAATGAAGCAAATCACCGTTCGTCAAAACTTGGTTGAGAAAATAAGAGATTACTGCAAGCTAAGAGATTACTGTTGGTGAAAAGAAAGCAGATCATACCAACTGAGACACACACATTTGGACAGAATAGTTCGTCGGGCACTGGGCTTTCACCTCCGCCCCCCCCCCCCCCGATCATTTATACAACCGATGCTCCTAATTTGGCCTTTTGGACGGCTTTCCCGACGCATGGATAGTCTATGAAGACGCTGGGACTTCATTCTTTGTACTTACCAAACATTTCATATGCTCCTTTGGGAAAACATCCCGGCCGAACGAAGCAAAACATCTCCTTCATCACACCCTCGGGTAACCAAAATGTTCATGAGAGGTTTAGGGCTTTGGTCTCTTCCTGTTCCAAAAGTCGCACAGGGTAGGCGCGAACCCTCGGTCGAAGCAGGAGCACGCCGCCCGGGGCATCCGGGGTGACGTCACAACCACCGGCCCTTGTGCCAGCCAATGCGCGGGCGGCTTGGCTATGACGTCGTCGGTCGATAGTGGTCCGAGCGGCGGGGCATGGTGCGTAAAAAGGACGAAGGCGGCGGCGGCGGTAGATCAGTGGGGACTGCGGGGGCGAGGAGAGGTGACGCTGAGCTCTTGCGTCGGACACACCCGGCACGCAAGTTCAGGAAACTTGAAAAAAGTTTACGAAGAGTCTGTGAAAGGTTGGCCGCTCTTTGCGCTGCGTGGACAAGGTGAGTGGTCGACGCGATTTCATGGCACTTCGCTTGTGTACTATCACACCTGACGTCTTTCACACCTATCTCATCTGTTGACGTCTTTTAATTTGTGTAAGTGTGTACCGCTCCTGGCTCATTTCCTGCTTGGCTTCCGCTGAACGGTTGGAAGAACCGCTGCAGCGGCTTGCCAGCTGTACCGTTAAGCTAGGTCAGCCGCGTTCGACGGTCCCAGGCGTTACGTGCCGAGCGAGTCCGGCCCCGGACGCCGGGCGCCACTCCCTTGATATAACCTCCCACTGTCGCGGTAATGCCGCTCGTCCCGCAGTCAAGGTCACATTCAGGCCTCGCCGCACATGTGTGGCGGGCCCGGAACGGTGCCACCCGACCCGCCTGTACACCGCGCGGAGGCTCCAATGACCCGTGTGGGACGCGCCACCACCTGTTGGAATTGTGCCAGCTGGGTAGCACGTTCGTGTGTGGTCGGCGTTCAGAGAACGGCGGCGTCGTGTCCTCAGCACATTGGTGTGTATGGACGGGTTGGCCGCTCCGGTAATGTGAACTGGTTTTTTGGCTGCTATCAGTTTGTTTCGTTTCGTTGAGGTCACGGCACTTGCGCCCAACGCCCTCAGGCCGCAATTGTGGTTGTTGGTGGTTAAACTGGATGTAACTGAAAGATCAGCAATGCTTGCTATCACGCTGCCGAACTTAAGTGTCAACATTCAGAAATGCTTAACACGCAAATGTCAGGAAAGCGGAGCAGTGCCGACCGATATTTAACTGTCAACATCCAGCCCCGTGTTAAGTCCTTCCGCGATACGTTCTCAGTCCTCTTCCGGGTTGTTCCTGATGTATGCGGTTCGTGAGCTGCGTCACCACACTGCCCGATGGCCCTCTAACAAGGAGGTGGTGATCTACGTTGCCGCTCTCTGTCGTTCCGCACAGCTCGACAGCTCGCCGCCTCGGCGCCGCGCCGCAACTCTGCTCGTCATCTGACCCTCCCGCCTCCTCCCCGTCGCCGACAGGTTCCGGGAGACCCGTCCAGCGGCCGCGCCCGTGCTAGCACCCCCAGCATGACCCAGGAGTCGGACGAGCCGGCGGCGGCGGCGGCGGCGGTGGCGACGGTGGCGCCACCGCTGCCGCGTCGAGCGACTGTGCAGTTCGCGGCGGACACGGCCGCGCCGCGCGAGCCTGACGAGCAGCCGCGCAGGCCCCGCGAGCCGGACGAGCAGCCGCGCAGGCCCCGGCTGCACTCGTCCTCGTCGCGGGCCGTCGGTGGCCGACAAGCTGAGCCAGATGAACCTGAGCTTCGCCGGCTGCGGCTTCCTCGGCGTCTACCACATCGGCGTGGCGGCCTGCATGCGCCGCTACTGCCCGGAGCTGCTGATGAACCGGATCGCCGGGGCCTCGGCCGGCGCCATCGCCGCCGCGGCGCTCATCTGCCAGACGAGCCTCAGTGAGTGCGTCGTCTCGGTCACGGCGGCCACAGTTGGCCGTCTCAGGCTGCCGGCTTTCCTTTTTCCGAGGCTCAAACTAAAAAATCGCGAACTGAAAACAATCGTAACATCGCGTACTCACTCACATACTTCAAGTCAGTCTTTGACACCATGTGGCACGGCTATTGAGGGTAATACCAACTGGCAAGCTTTATGCCACGCTTTCCCCATAATTTTGTCGTGTCATGATGATGGACGTGTTGCAATCTGTATTCGGTTGGCAACACAGGCGCTGTATCTGAGATGCGCCGTATCGACCACGCGGCTTACAACTGCACCGCCTCGGGGGCAGACTATGACCTCGACAGTCCCGGTGTACTCCACCCCAGGTGCAGGCTCCCGCCGGAGGCCAGGCACCTTGGATCCCGATCTGCTCCTCGCTCATAACGCATGCGATCATGGTTTCAAGGGGATGCCAAGCGAGGCGCATTGAGGATAAGCAAGCCTCTCGAGCGGCAGTGCATGCCGCGTTATGCAACATATTGTAGAGGCCCAGTCCAGGGTCTGTTGACAGTCGTCGCTTCGTTGCGGCGAAGCTTCATGTTGACTGTGTCAACTAGCCGCAACACGGTCGTTGTCCCCGCCCGTGCTCCGGTGGTGACCTTTGCCTACTACTCGCCGCTCTCCGCGACCGTGTTTACTCACCGGCCGGCGGGGTCAGCGGGCGCGGCCGACCCCGGAGCGCCACCCCGATGACCCCTGTCACGACCTCCCCCTCGCCCGCAGGTGAGATCATGTCTGACCTGGTGAACGTGGCCCGGGTCATCCAGGCGCACATGGGCGGCCCGTTCAGTCCATTCGTCTCCGTGCCGGCGATGCTGCACGCTGGACTGCAGAAGGTGAGGCCCCGGACGTGCGCGACCGGGCGGCCCGGCCACTCCCAGCTCTGAGTCACTCGTGGCTGGCTGGCCCAGCGAAGCGACGGGGCGGACCCGGGGTCAGAGCCTGCAGCCGCGTGATAGGCGTATCGCGGCGTATCATGGTGCGCTAGCACAGATTATTTGTCGTTTTTATCAGTCCGAAAAAGTCGAGTCGGTGCGTGTAGCTCGCGTGTTGTCTGTGTTCTCTGGCGACCTTCAGTCCGATGCCGTCAGCGGATCAGTTTGGTTTTTGCGATGACGCGCTGGCAAGACCCAGCACTTGGCCGGGCACTGTCATGGATTCCCACCGCCGGGGCTCTATCTAGCGAGCCCAATCAACGCGTCCGACTCGTGTGCGGCGGACTTTTTCAGCAGGTTTCCCCAATCTGTCTCGCGGAGCGTCCGCGCTCCTACCGCGGGAGCGGTAGGAGCGCGGACGCTCCGCGAGAGTGCTCTGCGCGGCCGTCAGCTGCCATCGCCTCGCGCAACCCTGCTCTGACGTGCGCTGGTCGCCCGCAGAACCTGCCGGACAACGCGCACGTCCTGTGCTCAGGACGTTTGCACGTCTCGGTCACCCGCCTGGAGGACGGCCAGAACTGCATCCTCTCCCACTTCGAGTCCAAGGAGGAGCTGATTTCGGTGCGTGGCGCGGTCCACGGCCGGGCGCCGCGTGCCTCTGTTTAAGCGATTTTCGAGCATGGTGGCGGCGACGGGCTCTTTGACGTGCATTGTTGATTGTACGTGGCCCCGGCAGAACGCGTATAATTTTTGTTTTTCTTCTTAGTCCGCCAGGAAATTGTCTCCGATCTTAACTGGTAATGACTGGCGTATTCACGGAAAAACCAGTGGCCAGGGCTCTGGAAACACTTGCCCCAAAAGGTCGAACAAAAGTGCCAAACAGCCTATGCTTTATGACCGTGCTTCCCGCCATGTTCAATATCTGTCGCGTTGTGCGCACTTTCCTAATTTCACTGCAGCCTGGTCCGTACGATTTACTTTTAGGACCTGGGTCACCATTTTCCTGATCTTGGGAATTGGGCGACTTAAATGCTTAGGTTTTCTTTCACAAGGCATATCAAATGTTTGGGCTTCCTTTCACAGTCTGAAAGCTTACACACCAAGTGCGTTTTTACCGACGGACCTGAAGTTGAGCCGCCTGCAGTATGCCTCCCACCGGCTGGTTCGCTGTCCAATCGGTCGCCATGCGGTCCTCCACTCTGAGTCCGGACGTGACCCGAGCCTGCTCTGCCCCTTCCCCCAGGCGCTGATGTGCACGGCGTTCATCCCGGCCTTCTCCGGCTGGCGGCCGCCGCGTTTCGCTGGCAAACGCTACATGGACGGCTGCTACAGCAACAACCTGCCGACGCTGGACGACCGCACCATCACCGTCAGCCCGTTCTGCGGAGAGGCCGACATCTGTCCCCGTGACCGTTCGCTCAGTCTGACTGTGGTGAGTGGCCGCGCTCGCCCGGCGCCGAGCCCCATATGCAGCAGTCCGCTGCCAGCATCTCAGGCCTTTCGGGGTCATTTGGGGTCAGCTGGGGTGGTGTAAGGTTCGCTGGTTGGGGCTGCGGGCGTACCTCCGGCGTGGTTTGAAGGGTGGCACTTTGTCGTATGGTAACTGACGTAAGGTACGGGATCATGTTCTGCATCTGCGCTCAAACGTTACCCACTGTCGTCACTCATCGGGGCAAGTTTGGACTTCTCTCCGACTTAGGGGTGGCCGCCTGCGGTGCTGCCGAGGGCCGTCATACCGGGGCGGGGACCATGGTGACGCGCAAGCTCTCCGTCCCCAGATCGACGCGGCCAACACACGGGTGGAGATGACGCCCGAGAACCTGCTGCGCGTCTTCATGATCATGTACCCGCCCTCGCCGGAGACGCTGTCCGACCTCGCCAACCAGGTGAGCGGCGGTCCCCGGCCTACATACCAGCGCTGGGAGGGCTGGCTGAGGCGCGAGCCTAGCGCTGCTGGTGCTGGTGCTGGTAAAGCACGAGCCTCTGCTGCTCTGCTAGTGTTCACTGTTTTATGCGTGAACTAAACCACTACCCATTTGATGCGGTGATGCATAGCCGTCATAATGTAGATCAAAATGTTTTGCAGCAGACTCGCTAGCGATCTGGCTGTCGCTGCTTAACCATTATCTACGACTTTCGCTGCTGCGAATGGGTGGGCATGTAGCAGTAAGTGAGTCTGTTTAAATGTAGGGGTTCGACGATGCCATCCGGTTTAAATGTTGCAGGGGTTCAACGATGGCATCCGGTTTAAATGTTGCAGGGGTTCAATGACGGCATCCGGTTCCTGATGCGTCACGATCTGATGAAGTGCCAGATGTGCGTGCTGACCACGGAGATCGTGGGCCGCGCCTACTCCAGCTGCGGCCGGCTCATCCAGCACGTACACTGCGACGACTGCTGCACCAAACAGCAGGTTAGGGCGCGCGGCCGCGAGTTCTTTCGGAGCTTCCTCGCTCTCGTAGTCACTGCTTGCTGTAAACCGTTTCTGTTTGTTGCTAGGCGTGCGTGCTGATTATCGATTATCAACGCTCAACCAGTGAGCGCGATTTGATCCGCATACGTCGCGTTGCAGCCCGCTGCGCGGCGGCTCGCGCGGAGATTGGGGAGGGCACCGGGCGGGCGCCGTGGTCGCTGTTCTGGCTCGCACACCCGCCAGATTTCTAATTGTTCGCGCATCTGTTCTCTGTCCGCACTACACGCCGGCCTTGCGAGGCGGGTCAGCGGCGTGTCAACCACTAGCTTGATGCGTTGCGTAGAGCCTGCCTGACCTCCATCCCGGGCGCCGGGGTCATGCGCCGGCGGAGACCCGTGCCCCGCCCCCCCCAACCCACCGTCCCCCCGTCCCGCCGCAGGAGGCCATGGTGGCCAGGCTGCCGGACTCTGTGCACGAGCCGCTGTACCAGAACATCCTCAGCTCGCGCCGGCTCTTCCGGAACTGGGTGCTCGACTTCCCGGGCGTGCGGCATCTGCTGGTGCTGGCTCTGCCCTGGACGCTGCCCTGGACCATCGTGCGCAGCATCTACCGCAGGTCAGTGGCGCCAGGGCCACGGATGGCGCGGCTGCCGGCAGGGCGCGTGTCGGGACGTGCCCTGACCAATGTGAGACGCTGCCGGGTCAGGCCCAGTCGGCGCCGGCATCAAAAAGCAACCGAACCGCTTGTGCAGAGAAGTGGCGGTTGTTGGAACGTGCCCTTTCGCTGTGGCCAGTACGCAATTGGGGCAGTCAGAGCGATGCTCAGCTGGTTTTGGCCTTGTCGTGCGTCAGTAATTCCACGTCTGCCTTCTTTTTGCCGATCCTTTGCCTCATATTTCTCGCCTTTTCTTTCGTGCTCTCACCAGAACCTGCGTATCGACACTCTAGTGAGACAAAGGCACTGTTCACCACTCTCCAACTAGAGCAGCTCGATCCGATCCGATCCGAGGGGGCGGGGGGGGGGGGGGGGGGGGAGATGCGCTGTCAAGTCAACGGCCTTTGCAACCCGGGCAAAAAGCGATGGGCGCGTCGCAAGCTGTTTGGCGCTGGTGAAGGAATGCGGGCTTCTGTGACAGCCGGCGGCAGCGCCGCGTCTGTGTTTGTGTCTGGCGGAGGTCACGAGGGCTCGCCGCTGCCCGCCCCCCGGTCCGTGCCACGCACACGCTGACGTCACCGGACGACGCCAGCGACGTCAGCTCTGGCTGTCCGGTCCGGCGAGGTCAGGCCGGAGGACGCGTGTACCGAACTGGTCACAGGCGCTAGATCAGTGTACAGTGGACGGGTCCTGAAACAACAGACGTGCTTGTTCATGGGCGCAGCGAACTAGATCGCCCTTGACGGAACATAGCTTTTTTATGGCGCGACTGACGTCATCACTGGCCTTCGATTGGTGAGGCCCTGTGTTTGAGGTGAAGTAACGAATAACATGGTTGTATACACATGTTCTGTTTTGGTGGGCTGGCTGTCGCGTGAACCGGTTTGCTTCACGAATCGGTGTCGACTACAAGGCTGGTCTGCCTGTGATGAATTTCTTAGAAAGGCCGCGAAACCTTCCACGATATCTTCACCGCCATCTCCGTTCCTGTTCACGTCGCCTGTTTGGTTCCCGAAGCGATACCCGGCGCACGCTTCCCGTTCATTAGACGCTCCTCTCTGCCCGGGGACGGGGTATGGCGCTCTGTTCAGCTTGGCGTGCACGACCATCCTTCTCTGCTCCTGTCGCCGTCGGCGGCCGCCTCTGTGTCGGCTTCGCGCCCTGACCGTACCCGCCCTGTTCGCAGACTGGTGGCCCGGGTGCCGCAGCTGAGCAACCTGATGGAGTCGCTGACCAGCGAGGTGATCCGCGCTGTCCACAACGGCTTCAGCGCCCACCTGCCCAAGTCCCAGCAGGTGCACGCGCGCTACACCTGCCGCGTCAACGTCACGGAGTACGGCGAATGTGAGTACCCGGGCGCCGGCAGTCTCAGAGTACCGCGAATGTGAGTACCGGACCGCCGGCAGTCTCGGAGTACGGCTAATGTGAGTTCCCGGGCGCCGGCAGTCTCGGAGTACGGCTAATGTGAGTTCCCGGGCGCCGGCAGTCTCGGCCACACGGACCAACGGCGCATGGAGTGGAATACATACGACGTTGCGCGTATGTATTCCATGCGAAAATACCGATGGCGGAACGAAGGCCTGAGCCAGCCAAACAAGGACGGCGCCTGGACTGTGAAAAGTCGCTTCGTAAAGTGTGGGGAAGAGCTGCGAGGACCGCCGCCGCACTAGGCGTACGTTTCGGCAAGGGTTTGGCTGCCTGTCTGGTAATGCGTTCCGCCCCGTGGAGTGTCGATGCTGGGAGGAGAAGCGCGTGCCGGTCGCTAGATCCGATTAAGCCACGGCGCAAGCGCGGTCGTGTCGCCTTTCCCGCGGCATGGGCCGTGTGGTGACCTTGGGTGTCGGTCCGTTACAGCGGCTGGCGTGGAGGACGGCCAGGCGGGGCCGACGGAGCCCGAGACGGAGCCTTACATCCCCGGCATCGTGCGCCGCTTCGACCGCCAGTTCCAGGTCGACTTCACCAACAAGTGAGCGACTCGGGCGGTCAGAGGTCGAAGGCCTGATCCCGCGCCCGCGTTGCACCGCAGGCAGCGAACAATGCCGCGGGGGTTTACATTGCTCGCTCAGCTTGCGTTTCCGGATGTTTTGCACCAGTCGCGTGCAGCTCACGTCGGACCTCCACATTCAGCTATGCAAACAAAGTCGACTTCCCGAAACTCTGCGCGCCCCGCCCCTCCACGCGCCCGCCTGCTCTCCTGCGGCTGCGCGCCGCGGTCGCCGCAGTCGTCCTACCGACGTGCGCAGTTGGCGCTCTCACCCGACGGCGGCCGGGGCCAGCCGCGCCCTAGAAGACGGCGGTGGGTGCGGCCGGGGTCGTGGGTGGACAACACGCTGCCAGCGCGCGCTGCGGTCACCTAAAAAAGCGGGGCGCGCGGCGCGGCGGTGTTTTGCCGGGCGGAGTGACGCAGACGCTGTCACTCCGGGCCGTTTATTTGGGACAAACGCGACCTCACGCTTATGGGTTCCAGACGCTATTTTGTCACTCGCCGGCGAAGTCTGCTGCGCTGTTTGTGAGACAAAAAGGTGGAGTTTGAATGGGTCGTTGCCTGCGCTGCGAGGAATAGTACGGCGCAGTAATCTCTAAACACGGCTCGTTGGAATAATGTCGGTAGCTTTTCATGGAATCCTTTTTTACCAAGGCGTCAGCAAGTAGTCCTGGCCCGTGCGAGTGAACTGGCCGCTGTGTAACATGATCGGCGTCCAAGCCCGCTCGTCATGCATCCGCCAGCACTGAGGTGTGCCTGCGTCCGCTGCGGCAGGGGCTGCGGAACGACTATGGTGCGGACCACCAGCGACGCCGAACGGCTGGAGACGGAAGTTATGGCTGCCGGCACGTCACGAGATGGCGGGCCCGGTGTCGAGGTGCTGGACGTCAACTTGCCAGAGGCCGCCGTCGGCCCGTTCGACCGTGAGGTGTTGCGCATGGCGCTGGAAGCTCAGGGCGACTCCGACTGCGGTGTCAGCTGGTACTACACCGACAAGGATGGCAATGTGAGTCCACGCTCCGTGAGATGGCCGTTACCCACTTCTGATGTGTCGGTGGCGGCTAGATATAAACTTTAAAAGGAGGAAACTTGTGCCCTACATCAACATCTTTTGTGTGAGATTTGGGGCGCATCACATGTGATTTAAACCATATACACAGCTGTAATGCATTTCCACAGATGCGTATGCCAGATGTCACGCATATTTATCGCATGTCGCCCATATTTTTGTGAGTTTCTGCACTACTGGCACACATAATGGCGAGGGATGCATCGCTAACCCGCCCTCCCTGGCGGGCCCTGCGTCAGCGTCACCGGCCACTGTCGGCGTGATGACCGCTGCGACTGTGGTGCTCTGCGCCGGTCGGGCTGACAGCAGGGCCCGGCGCCACGGTTCGTGTCACGTCGTCTGACCGGTCGCCGCGGCCCACAGGTGCGCGTGCGCCATGTGTCGGCCGTGCCGACGCCGGTGGCCACGCCGTGCGCCTCGCGGCGTCCGAGCGTTTGTGACGACGGGCTGGACGCGCCGTCGCTGGAGGCGATGCGCCGCGCCGCCGCCGCCTGCCGCGCCGACGCCGACGCTGACGACGACGCCGACGGCGAGGACGAGAGGTCAGCCGAGCGAGACGAGCTGTAACGACCGCCGGCCCGCTGCTAGCCGCCCGCCCGCCCGCCTGCTGGCCAGACAACGCTGACGGGGATCGCCACGCCGCTCCGGCCCGCATGCATGCTCCGGCCGCATGCTAGCGCGGACGCGGCCGCCGCGCGGGCGGCGCGCGCCGCCGCGTCGCTTGTTCGGTCGCGGTGAGGCTTCTGCGGCTGCTGCATGCACTAACGCTTCTCACCACGCACGCTGTGCTGCTGACCAACCGCTGGCTCTGGACGGAGTGACGATTGAGGATGTGGTTTGATTTGTTGGATTTAAGTGTGTCTGTGAAGTAAGGAAGTGAGAAATGTGAAGCAAAGAGGTTTGCGACCTGCTTACAAGATTGCAGACTATATGGGGCAGCAGTCTGTTCCTGCTCTCCGCCTCTAACTTGATATCATTTCGCCTTCACTGTTCTGTCTCGAAGCTCTCGAAATGTCACCGACGTATCCGGTCTCCCCGCCCGCCGCTGTCTCACGCAGAGTCACCTGGTATGACCCCAGGGAGGAGAACGTGACGTACGACGCCGGCATGGGGGTCATAAAGGAAGAGGCGAACGATATGCTCCCCGAAGACTAGTTGCTCCCAGCGGCGGCAGGTGGCAGCAGGGATGATGTGCTCCCGGAGACTAGTCGTTCCGGGCGGCGGCAGGTGGCAGCAGGGACGATGTGTCTCCAAAGACTAGTCGTTCGCGGCGGCGGCAGGTGGCAGCAGGGATGATGTGTTCCTGAAGACGTCGTCGCCATATCAATGCAATCACGATGTGTTCACCGGCATGGCCCACCTGGGAACATTTAATGATAGGAAGTCATTGCCATGCAGGAATTTCATGTCGCTTTAATGTCATAATCATCGCCATGTTATGTGTAGTACCCATTGCATTGTACCACCCCTCGACCCCTCGCATTGTATTGTTTTATCTCAAGTGTTTCAGCGGTCCCGACCTGCTGTGTAGGTCTCACGCTGTGTGGAGTGCTCAGTCCCGTTGTTCAACTGTTGTGCTTCCGTGAGTTTGTAAAAAGCCTTGAGAATTTGTATTTACGTTGCGGGCAGGGTACAGACCACCAACAGCGCGGTACTATTCCTTGTTGTGCACGCGAAACCCAGCCTGAAAGTGAACGTCCACTTGGCGTTGCCTGCTGCTCGTAGGGCATAGCGCCTTCACTCGCAACGATATGTGTGCTGTGATTATTCTATTGGTTCGTATCTAGTGGTTAGTTTGTTCATGAGTTTTCGTTGGTTAATTGCGCGTTTAGCACTGAACCGACGTGTGGAAATCCATTATAGCGTTTGCGATGTGTGATGGTTCTCATTTAGGCTGGTAGTATTTACTCTTGTGGATCCTCGCACCGAATGTTTATTCTCAGGTTAGTTTATGCACGAAGCGTTTGAGTGTCCTCTGGACCGTCCTGTACCGGTCCGGTGGAGGTATTTCGGCGCCCGGTCGAATGTGCACCAGGACTGTTTTACTGCGCGAAATTGTTCTCAGCTCTTTACCGTATGACACATTGAACTCAAATTTCGACTGTTCGGATTATCATTTCAGCAAAAGTGAATGATGGTTTCACGTCTCACGAGCTTTAATGCAATCCTCGTTCTTAGACGTCCTCGACATCGTTTAACCTTAGGTTAAGTATGCTTTCACGGTTCCCTTTCAGCCCCGCGTGTGGTTGTCACTCCGCGGTCTCAGGGTTTAGTCTTTAATAAACTTAAACGAGCTGTATCTCGAAGTTTTATTTTTTGCTCTTCCGCCAAGCGGAAACTGGCACGGAGTAGACGAGCTGTGCGTGCGATCATGGGCTGTGGACGCGATGTGATGATGTGGATAGGAGTGATATAGCCCACTCTCGATCACCATCATCCCGCTCCAGCTGTGGCCAAGAGCGTCGCGATGTGATGATGTGGATAGGAGTGATACAGCCCGCTCTCGATCAGTCATCCCGCTCCAGCTGTGGCCGAGAGCGTCCAATCAGTCCAGTTCATGACCGATTTAACACGCGCCCGGGTGGCTGGTTGAATACCCTTCGCACTGATGGTGGGGGTCAATCCCTGGGATCTCGTTAACGGAGAGCTGGAAACACTAAATTCAGAGGATGTTGGCGTGTACGTTAACTCACTTTTAAAATGTAATGGTCTGGATCATTACCTTAGATCAAGTAAGATCATGCAGGGGCAAGCTCCAGATTGATGTGCGAAGTGCTCCTAAGCCTTCTCATGCAAATATATAGGGCAGATATGTATAGGCAAATAATAGGCCAGACGCGTGATCTAGGCAAAAGGTCTCTGGTGCTCATTTAGCTTTTGTGATGTGTGACCTTTCCGAGGTCGTGATGACCAAAATCGTACAAGACTGCTTTGATTTTTTGCATTTGAATAAGCGTCATTGAGTACGCTGGACAGTATGTTCCAAAAAACAAAATGCTGTCCTAAAACTATCTCAAATGAAACTATCTCAAAGATACATGGATTCGTGCAACACTCCGTTGTTGCATCACATTTAACAAGTCATTAAAAATTGTCTTCGCTTAATCCATGACCTGACTTTGACCTGTCGCAGGTCATTGACCTTACCAGGTACATCTGAATATTTGATGCCAAACAATCCGTACGACGCGCCGCTCGGAAATCATTCCGGAAAGCCCTGAGCGGAGGGGGGGGGGGGGTCAAATTGACACCGAAACGAGCGGATGTTAAACACCGATTTTACTTAAAAAACGTCTATTGATCTTGCGTGATATCGAAATGATGTGATATGCATATCTATCGCATACATATAAAATATACAGCGTCTGACATCTCCCTAGAAACGTGCGAAAAATGCAAAATCGCATTCCATTAGTCACAAATCCTCCCAAATCCATAAAACCGGCCGTAGGCAAATACCTAGGGGAAGATGCTCACAACCACCGCATGAGGTTTTCAGACAAAACTGGCTGCCACCAGTCCACCGCGTACATTCGGTGGACACGGCGTAACCCAGAAAGAGAACATCTGGCCTGCTACATCGCGTGGCAATACCGGTCCAGAGTCGTGCATCGGCTTGACGCACCATGTGGGCATGATCCGCGTCACTCGTCTAATCACGGGCACGTCAACGCCCCACCTGGCACGCACTGCTCGCCCAATCGCAGTCAGCTCTCACAGGTGCGTAGTTTCATTCGGGTCAGTCCGCGAAATTTTCCTGCCACGCTCGCCACTCGCACGGCATTCCTGTCATTCGTGGCTCTGTACACGACTCCAACACGCGATCTGGGCTCCGAATCACCGTCCACGCTCGCCGTCTTCATATCGGCAGGGCCTCGCTGCCGATGCCTATAGCGCCCGACCCGGTGGCAGCCCTACCCACAACTGTCACACGTGACCGCCGCTTCAGGCCTCGGGCACGACCCAGCCTCTCAGTCCCTGCGCGTGGTCCGGCCAGTCACGCGGTGTCGCAGCGGCCAGAAGGGGGTGACGCCGCGAACCTCGCCGCAGCCCAGGTCGTCGGCCACGACGTTGTGCGCCAGCTGCTCGACGGACACCACCGGGTCGGAGCGGGCTGCTAGCGAAGCCTCGGCTATAACGCGCGCCACCTCGGCGTCCGCCTCCTGCCGGGACAGGGGATCCGGGCATCAGGGCGGCTGCAGGTCCCCTGATCAGGGCCGACAGGGCGGCTGCAGGTCCCCTGATCAGGGTCGGCAGGGCGGCTGCAGGTTCCCTGATCAGGGTCGGCAGGGCGGCTATAGGTCCTCTGATCGGGGTCGGCAGGGTGACTGCAGGTCCCCTGATCAGGGTCGGCAGGGCGGCTGCAGGTCCCCTGGTCAGGGTCGGCAGGGCGGCTGCAGGTCCCCTGATCAGGGTCGGCAGGGCGGCTGCAGGTCCCCTGATCAGGGTCGGCAGGGCGGCTGCAGGTCCCCTGGTCAGGGTCGGCAGGGGGCGGCTGCAGGTCCTCTGATCGGGGTCGGCATGGCGGCTGCAGGTCCCTGGTCAGGGTCGGCAGGGCGGCTATAGGTCCCTGGTCAGGGTCGGCAGGCTGACTGCCGGTTGGCGAGCGAGCCTGGTCATCTGGAGCCATCGATATCTAAAGACTACCATCGACGACTCCGACAGACGCGTGGCACGTGCCATGCATCACGGTGATTACACATGCAAGCCGAGGTAAACAGCGGAAGGTAGCGCCCGCGTCTCGAGGAGGGTTTTGTCCCCATGGCTGTAACCCCAGTTGCCAAGACGGTCTAAAGCGCTAGAACAAGCCCATCCATACCATCCCCAAGACGTCCGTAAGGAATATCAGGGTCTGATACGACCTAAAGTGATTTAGAATGGAACCGACGACACAAACAATGCTTCCTTTAGACATAAGGTGTTCTCGCGAAGATAACAAATGGGAACACGAGCATGGGCCTAGATTAAACAGAGGATCGAAAATGGTCGAATGGGAAGATAAAAGAAAATGTGGGCAGACAGATAAGACAGACAAGGAAAGATGGGAGAAAGAAAAGCAACGAATGCGTCGGACACATGCATAGAGAGAACAATTACTTTGGAATTAGGTTCTTATCGTAAAGTACGTTATGAAATATCATACAAAACGAAGTTTTTGACTCGGTGTATGCTTCAGATTTGCTTAAGAAGGGGTTTTGCGATTGCATCATCATTTGCACCACATCTCTCCCACTGGCGAGTGGGCACCTCAAGCTGCTGCTCGGTCAGCAGTCCAGCCGCCAGCACGCGTTGTCGGAAGACGGCGATGGGGTCATGTGCCATGGCCTCCTGCACCTCTTCTCGGGCCGGTACAGCTTGCCGGGGTCAGCCACCGAGTGACCCGAGAACCTGCCGACCGGCGGACCGTGACTCAGAGACCCCCGCCGTCGCCTGGCCGCCATGGTGGCCGTGTGCCCGTCTGCACGCTCGCCGGACTCCGCCGCGTCGCCTGGCCGCCATGGTGGCCGTGTGCCGTCTGCACGCTCGCCGTGACTCCGCCGCGTCGCCTGGCCGCCATGGTGGCCGTGTGCCCGTCTGCACGCTCGCCGTGACATCTTGCGGACTGCGGAGTAACGAAGCCGAACAGCCGGCGAGATACCGCGGGACTGAAACGAAGCTGTCCACATGCTCAATCTTATTGGATCCATGATCTCCTGGCCAAAGTATATCTGTTAATTAAGAATCGCAAAGTATCACGAGCATCACACAATGACGCAAGATATAGATATATGATCTTTTTTCGCTGCGATCCAGCAATTAAAGATAGCAAGTATAGTGAATGAAGCTTCTTGGTCTTGCTCGTCAAAAACTCTTGCTAAGGCAATTACTGATGAGCTCTTCTTGCCGAGCGTTCTGGCCGAGCATCGAAAGTAACGATTGAAGATGAAAACAATTGATGACCATGACCTCTGACTGAACTGCACCCAATGACTCCAGTATGACAGTATACCATTCCGTCCTTCACAAGACCGTGGCCCCTGACTCACCTGTACGTCAGTGACTCCAGCACGGCTGGCCCCCGTCCTGCTCTGCACAGGTCGGGGCCCCTGACTGACCTGTACGTCAGTGACTCCAGCACGGCTGGCCCCCGTCCTGCTCTGCACAGGTCGGTGGCCCCTGACTGACCTGTACGTCAGTGACTCCAGCACGGCTGGCCCCCGTCCTGCTCTGCACAGGTCGGTGGCCCCTGACTGACCTGTACGTCAGTGACTCCAGCACGGCTGGCCCCCGTCCCGCTCTGCACAGGTCGATGACCCCTGACTGACCTGTACCTCACTGACTCCAGTACGGCTGGCTCCCGTCCCGCTCTGCACAGGTCGGTGGCCCCTGACTGACCTGTACGTCAGTGACTCCAGCACGGCTGGCCCCCGACCCGCTCTGCACAGGTCGGCGGCCCCTGACTGACCTGTACGTCAGTGACTCCAGTACGGCTGGCCCCCGTCCCGCTCTGCACAGGTCGGTGGCCCCTGACTCACCTGTACGTCAGTGACTCCAGCACGGCTGGCCCCCGTCCCGCTCTGCACAGGTCGATGGCCCCTGACTCACCTGTACGTCAGTGACTCCAGCACGGCTGGCCCCCGTCCTGCTCTGCACAGGTCGGTGGCCCACTGTGCAGCCTCTCTGACCGCCAGCACGTCCATGCCGTCCACCTGTTGGCACCCGACAACGCTCAAATCGCCACAGCTACACCGGGCATCAGTTTTTGCCTGGTTTCTCACTCATCTGATCTGGGCGGACGCAAACGTATGACAACTGCCAAATTCTGGCCCAAAAGAAGACCACACAGCATCGCCCCAAGTGCAAGAACTGAGAGGGGTTGTTAGTTTGATTATTTTCATTAAATTTTGTAGGGTTATGCAGTCAACATGGACACACAACCCTCAGTGAGATGTTGGCCACTACGTGATCGTATAATAAGCATACAAACGCCCAGATGCCATACGTTAGAGATGAATCGAACCCAGGCCTACCAGGTGGAAGTTGAGTACTTCCCAGCTGCACTCTTTCGTCCCAGTGGTGCGGCTTAGACTTGCCAAACATGGCACCGGGCGACGACGTAAAGCATTCGTTCTTGCGTAGCTTTTTCGGAACAATTTCACGCAGCTATGAAATATTGGATATTGAGCCCATCTATTGTGTGATTCCCCATTTGTAGAGGGCCATCTCTTCACTGACAAATATCGTCCGAAGGTACCGTCCACTACGTTTGAAGTAATTACGTCATACGCACACTCAAGTGTAAACCCACACAAACCCTTG